TGGTTATAGAATAGGAGCTGCCTCGTATGGGCCAATAGGCCTTCTGCAGTTACCTTTGTTCTTATGTTCTTATGTTCTTATGTCTTTCCTAAATCTAAACTTATCCAATTTATATCCATTGTTTCGTGTTCTGTCCTGTGTTGATACTTATAATACCCTATTAATATCCCCCCGGTTATGTCCATTCATCCACTTGTAAACCTCTATCATGTCACCCCTAACTCTTCGCCTTTCCAGTGAATGCAACTTAAGCTTTGTTAATCTTTCTTCATATGAAAGATTTCTAATTTGGGGAATTAACTTAGTCATCCTACGCTGGACACGTTCAAGTGAATTTATATCCATTCTATAATATGGCGACCAAAACTGAACTGCATAATCTAAATGGGGCCTAACTAGAGCAAGATATAGCTTGAGAACCACACCAGGTGTCTTGTTACTAACGCTGCGATTAATAAATCCAAGTGTCCGATTTGCCTTATTACGAACATTTATGCATTGATCCTTTTGTTTTAAATTCTTACTAATCATAACTCCCAGATCCCTTTCGCAATCCGACTTCGCAATCACAACACCATCTAGCTCGTATCTTGTAACTCTATCATCATTACCTAACCTCAGAACTTTACATTTATCAGCATTAAACTGCATCTGCCAATCCTTTGACCATTTCAAAACCCTATCTAGATCAACTTGAAGTGATAGTGAGTCCTCCTCCGAATTAATTTCCCTACCGATTTTCGTATCATCGGCAAATTTGCAAATGTTGCTACTCAAACCTGAATCTAAATCATTTATATATATTATAAACAACAGAGGTCCCAGGACAGAGCCTTGAGGCACTCCACTTACAACATTTTCCCACTCTGACTTGATTCCATTTATACTAACTCTCTGTTTCCTTTGGTATAGCCATGCCCTAATCCAGCTTAATATAGCACCCCCAATACCATGAGACTCTATTTTTTTAATCAGTCTTTCATGTGGCACTGTATCAAAAGCTTTGTTAAAGTCAAGGTATACAACATCGCAATCCTTACCACTATCAACTGCCTCAACAATGCTAGAATAAAAAGATAACAAATTTGTTAAACATGAACGGCCATTTATAAAACCATGTTGCGACTCAATTATTAATTTATGTTTTTCAAGATGAAGACGAATTTTATTTGCTATTATAGATTCGAGTAACTTTCCCACAATAGACGTTAGGCTAATTGGTCGATAGTTAGACGCAAGTGATCTATCTCCTTCTTAAAAACTGGTATCACATTAGCAACTTTCCAAAACTCTGGCACTCTGCCTGACTCTATTGATTTATTAAATATGGTTGACAGTGGGTCACAAAGCTCCTCTTTGCATTCTTTAAGCACCCTAGCAAACACTTCATCCGGCCCTGGGGATTTGTTTGGTTTGAGTTTTACTATTTGTTTAAGAACATCCTCCCTGGTAACTGCTAAACTCGTCAACCTGTCCTCGTCCCCACCCACATAGACTTGTTCGGCTGAAGGCATATTGTTAAGTTCCTCTTTAGTAAATACAGATACAAAATATTTATTAAAAATACTACTCATCTCTTCATCACTATCTGTTATTTGACCTGTCTCAGTTTTAATGGACCTATCCTTTCCCTAGTCTTAGTACGATATAACTGAAAAAACCCTTTAGGATTTGTCTTTGCTTGCCTGCTATGCGAACTTCATAGTTTCTTTTTGCTTTCCTTATCTCTTTTTTAACATTTCTAACCAGTTGTACGAATTCCTGTTCTAAAGTGACCTCCCCATTTTTAATCCTTTTGTACCAAGCTCTCTTTTTACCTATAAGGTTCTTCAAATTCTTTGTTATCCACTTTGGGTTATTAGTATACGATCTATTCAATTTGTATGGTATACTACGTTCCTGTGCTTTGTTTAGAATATTCTTAAATAAGTTATATATTGAATCCACATCGAAATCCCCATTTAAGTCACCTATCGCTGGGTTCATGTCTCGCTCCAAGACCGGCCCAATATAAAAAAATACATCTCAAAGGGATAGAGTAGCTTAGGCTATTTCTACCCCCTCTACTTCAAGTCCCTCAAGGGGCGCACAAATTCAGTGAGTACAAATACACAAATCACAATACAAGAATCCCATTTAACATAGCAGGTTGAAATAGGAAGCACAGCATATAAGTGTTAGAAGTGAGTTACAAGTTACAAGGGAACAAGTGAGAAGGCGGTGGAGGCCAAAACCGGAATTACACACTGATTGTAATGCAGATATGTCGTGATTATCCTAATATAAAAATGTTAAGGCACGAAAACCTTTTTATTCGTTTAATTGTATAAGGCAATTAAAAGAACCTAACTCACAGCCCCTCTGTTCAAGTCCCTCAACATGGAGTTGAATCTGCAGAGTATTGGGGATAGAATTTCAGAGATAAATGTAGCCTCTGCCATTAGATTAATGAGAGGTGGGGGAGCTAATGAATTAATCCTCTCGGTTCAAAAGGTGGGAAGTAGTGAACAGTGTATGATGAAGAAGAGAGTATATATGAATAAATTATGTTATAATGTTATAAAGTATGATGTTATTACAGAGTGTATTGCTGTGCCCAAGAGAAAATTTACACCACCATGGGAGGATTGTAATGTAGATGTAGTAATTACTCCCTTGCATAAGAAAAAAAGTATGTATGAAATAGGAGAGCTGAGGGCAACATATGATTGTATAATTAGAAAACTGCCTACGGAAAACACTCTACATGTATATTGTGATGGGTCAGTAGCTAGGGATGGGAAGGCAGGATGTGGAGTCTTGATCAGGGAGTACACTGACATCGGCACTGTAGATACTGTTATTGGACGCCGCTTAACTGACAATGTCTCTTCCACGCAGGCTGAACTCCAAGGATTATTAGCAGGATTACAGGAAGTAGTCAAATGTGGTAAAAATGCTTGCTTCTTTATTGACAGCAGAGGAACGTTAGAGTCTTTAAATAGCAGACGCCCAGTATATCAGAATATTGTGATAGAGTGTAGAGAGAATGTTAAGAGACTAGAAAAAACTGGGTATAAAGTAAGATTCATGTGGATCCCTTCACATGTGGGAATACTGTTGAATGAGGTAGTTGATGACATAGCGAAGAGAGCCACTGAAAAAACTCTTGTTGATGTTGTATGTCAGTTAACCTTGAAACAAATAAAAACAAGAATCAAGGTGATTCAGGAGGGTGAAGAAATGATAAAGAGAATGGCAATGGTGGACAGTAGTAACACACTTAAGAATTATTCAATAATAAATACAAATTCGTCCTTCACTTATGGTAAAGGAAAGTCTTCTTGGAAGGATTCAATTTACCTGAGATTACGATTAGGATACAAATATATCTGGCAATACGGTGTTGATGTCAGTGAAAAAGATAAGGAGTGTAAATTATGTAGTATGCCGCACGCCCACACCTTAGAACATTATGTATTAGAGTGTCACCTTATTGAAAAATATAGAAATAAGGAAATAAATAGTGTACCACATCAAATTGTTTGGATGTGTGATAATGGTATAATAGACAGTATACTTAGGAGCTACAAGAATTTTGCCCCAAGAATGTAACAATTATATGCTGTACTTGCTGTATGCAATGTTAAATGGGATTCTTGTACTGTTATATGTCTATTTGTACTCACTGAATTTGTGCGCCCCTTGAGGGACTTGAAGTAGAGGGGGGTAGAAATAGCCTAAGCTACTCTATCCCTTTGAGATGTATTTATTGCTTATCTCAATAAACATACTTGAACTTGAATTACCTGCTTGGTAACCGATTGGCAGGTCGCGTTCCAAGAAAATCTAGTAGAGTAAAAGTTGTGTAACGTACGTTTATGTTACGTTGTTGAGTAGATTACATACACAGTGTTTAGTGGGTTTCATATTTATTTAGTAGTCTTGGATACAGCAGTGTTGTAGACGTTGAGACGGAGCTTGGAGCAGAGCAGAGAGCCGAGTGAGGCCGGAGTCATGGAGCTCTATGTGGGAGAGCGCGGCGACTCGATGGGGAATCGTGAGTGTCTATACTCGATGGGGAGCGAGAGCGTTGTAGCTCGATGCGGTCACAGTCTGCTGTCTTCTCTGTGTCGAAGCTGTAGCGTCTTGGGGTCGATTAAAACTGCATACGCTGAGTGCTACATTCTTGACTGTGGAAATTTGTTCTGTTGGCTATTCATGTTGTTGTTGTTATAGATTCAGCTACTCGGAATAAGTTCCAAGTAGCACGGGCTATGGTGAGCCCGTAACTTACCTGGCACAGGAGCGGGGCAAGTAGCACGGGCTATGGAGAGCCCGTAGTGAACTTACCTGGCACAGGAGCGGTGGAGCTTGACTATTCACTTCAAGCTTGCTTATATGTGGTGACTACACCTCAGCTTCCTCCAACAGGATGAAAAAGAGTGTTACCTGTAATTAGGGAAAGGATTTGAGTAGTCATAAGTAGTGCTAATTAGTTTGTCATTAAGGTAATGAGGGATTGGAGCGAGTACAAGGCTTACTCGCTACAGTTGCCTAGATCTATGGGAAGAGATAGCCTTCAGCCTGCTAACAGGAGTATAGTCCTTCAGTCTGGGCCCAGGTGTGTCAAGAAGAAAGGAGAGATAGTGGCCCTCAGGTGAACCTCAGGTGACCATCTTCACAGTATACAACACACAGGACCACCTGTGCAGTATACCACATGAATTTCGAATGCAGTATACAAGACATATGGATCACCTGCACAGTATATGTACAATACATTGACCACCTGTACAGTATATATACAGGTCCACCTGTGCAGTATACATACAGGACCACCTGTACAGTATACATACAGGACCACCTGTGCAGCATACATACAGCAGTATACATACAGGACCTGTACGCAGGACCACTTGCTCAGGCATTTATTTCTACACGGAAACTCCCAAATAAAAAAGGAGTCCCGGATGAAGAGGAGGCGAGAGGAAGATAAGAGAGATAAGGATGTGGTGGTAGTGAGTGCTGGCAGGGTCCTGAGTGCTGGCAGGGTCCTGAGTGGTAGCAGGGTCCTGAGTGCTAGCAGGTCCTGAGTGCTGGCAGGGTCCTGAGTGGTAGCAGGGTCCTGAGTGCTAGCAGGTCCTGAGTTCTAACAGGTCCTGAGTGCTAGCAGGGTCCTGAGTGTTAGCAGGGGTGCGACTGGACGCCATAGTGGTGGCGTAGTCTTGACACTCTTCATCTTCTAGTGTGTGGTTTGGTCAACACACTTCTGCTGCATTATTACCTCCCGTAAGAAACATTTGATTTAAATTAGTTGGTTCATGGAACACATTGCTGTCCGTCTACCGAGACGGTGGAGGGAAAGCCTCGCTTCCTGCAGGGTGAGCCTAGCTGCCTTCCTAGTAGAACGTCGCATTTTGTCGTATACTCTACCTTATTTAATAATTGTATTCACAAGAAGGTGAAATGGGTTGTGAGGTTACATAAGACTGGTATTTGTACATTCTTGTAAAGCCAGTAATGTGCATGGCGGATAAGTCCTTAATCTAACATAACAGGTAAGATGAAAAGCCACATTGTAGAAAAATTTTATATCAACATATAACTGCAATATAAATTGACAGAGGTCAATTTATATTAAGACATATATATTGACGCTGGTAAATATATATGTCTTAAGTACTAATATTGGAGAAGTGGGTAGTACAAGATACAGTGTGAGTTTGAAACACAAGGTAGGAAACTATAATGATGAAATTAGGTACTTTTTGGCTTTATTTTTTAATAAGGCATATGTTGGACAATTTTTTAATTCATTAGGGAGTGAGTTCCATAGACTGGGCCCTTTTATTTGCATAGATTGTTTGCACAGATTTAGTCTGACTCTGGGAATATCAAAGATATATTTATTTCTAGTGTGGTGCTCAGGGGTTATATTACACTGATCAAGGAAAAGTTCAGATCAAGATTAGCATTTTAGGAACAAGATTTTGTACATGTAGATAGCACACGAGAATGTGTGGAGTGAGTGTATGTTTATCATGTTAAGGGACTTAAACAGAGGGGCTGTGTGTTGTCTGAAGACAGAGTTTGTTATAGTTCTGATAGCAGATTTTTGCTGAGTGATGATAGGCTTGAGGTAATTTGCAGTGGTTGAACTCCATGTACCAATACCGTAAGTAAGATTGGGATAGATTAGTGCGTAGTATATATAATGAGAGGAGAGCAGAGTCGGGAAAATTATATCTGATTTTAGAGAGTATGACAACCGTTTCAGATTTTTTTTGCCAATGCGAGCGCTTTGTCATGGGTTCGTATCCTGGCCGGGGAGGATTTACTGGGCGCAATTCCTTAACTGTAGCCTCTGTTTAACTCAACAGTAAAATGTGTACTTGGTTGTAACAACGATTCTTCGCGGCGGGGATCGTATTCCAGGGACCATAGGATTAAGGACTTGCCCGAAACGCTACGCGTACTAGTGGCTCTACAAGAATGTAACAACTCTTGTATATATCTAAAAAAAAAATGTGTTGTATGTAGGTGCTGAAGTTGAGTCTTTCGTCTATGTATAGGCCAAGGAACTTTCCCTTATTTTTATTGTTTATGTTATCATTGTCCATCTGAAGTTGAATTTGATTCGATGATTTACTACCAAATAAGACGTAGTAGGTTTTTTCAATGTTTAGTGTGAGTTTGTTGGTTGACATACATGAGTTAATTTTTTTTAATTCACTGTTTACAACATCATTTAGTGTGTGGGGGTTGGGTTCAGAATAGATGAAGGTAGAAAAGGTAGTATCGTCAGCAAATAGTATACGTTTAATAATGTTAGAAATATTTGTCAAATCATTGATGTATATAAGAAATAAGAGAGGTCCCAAGATACTGCCATGCGGAACTCCTACTGTTAATGGTAGAGTGGGAGAGGCTATGCTACTGATGGCTACATATTGGTGTCTATCACTAAGATAGGAACGAATGTAGTTCAGAGCAAAACCTCGGATACCATAGTGGGGAAGTTTAAGTAAGAGGTAGTTATAGTTAACAGTATCAAAGGCCTTTCTCAGGTCAATGAAGAGACCGATTGGGAACTCATTTCTGCCAAGGGCTGAGTAGATTATATTAAGCAGACTAATAATGGCATCATTGGTACTCTTTCCCCTAAGGCCAGAAATCCCGTACTAGAAAATGGACGCGGCTTGCGAAAGTGACATACTGTCCCGTTTTCTGTTTTAGGTTCTCTGGTAGGTCAGGATAAGAGCACTTTAGTACGACAGTTTCTTGACGTTGGTGTACATCATTGCTCAAGAGGCTAGGCACCGTACCCTCCCATGCTAACTTTGGCTTATCAAATCCTTTCTATGTACCCTATAGGTTTAGTGCCTTCATGCTTTTATCTCATAATTACCCGTTGAAGGTTGTTGAAAGGTAGATGAAAGATTACTGAATTGTGGAATGATAAAAATGGAGTAATTTGAGAGCTAGCATAATTACTGAATATAATATTAGCGACTATGTGTAAGGTAACATCGTGATAATAATAAATTATATAGTTATAATTCTTATAAAGTTATAAAGAGTACTACATAATAGCACTATAATATAAGAGTACTATAATAGCATTATAAAGAGTACTACTTTGATATTTTCTCATCAATGTCATTGACGTATATAAGAATAATAGTTAGGCCTAAAATGGAACCTGCGCGGTACTCCATTCACATTTTTCCAGTGAGATTGTGTTCCGTTTAAGACGACCTTCAGGTTTCTGTTGTAACCATTATTGTATCCAGTATAATATTTTGTTATTTATTCCATGTACTTACGATGATTGTTTCTTTATTTTGTAGGTGTAGTATAAGAAGAATAAAGGTAACTGCAGAAAGCCTATTGGCTCATACGAGGCAGCGCCCATTTATAACCACACAATTCTACTCATTACATGTCCAACCCACGTTTGAAACAATCAAGAGACTCCACCTCCACCACGTTACGCGGTAATTGGCTCCACAAATCAACAACCCTGTTACCGAATTAGTATTTACCCAAGTCTTTCCTGAATCTAAACTTATGGTGTAGGCTACGGTGGCGAGGAGTGATGGTGGCTGTTGGCCCCGTCTGCTGCCTCCTGCTGCTACTGCTCCAGGATGTCGCCACCGCAGCAGGAGCCGGCACCACCAACGGTAAGATAACCATAGACATCTCTGGAGTGCTTCATAGGGGGGGATAGGGTCCAGGAGCCAGATTCACGAAGCAGTTACGCAAGCACTTACGAATCTGTACATCTTTTCTCAATCTTTGACGGCTTTGTTTATAATTATTAAACAGTTAATGAGCTCCGAAGGACCAGGAGGCTGTTTATAACAATAACAACAGTTGAATGGGAAGTTTTCGTGTTTGTAAATTGTTTAATAAATGTAACAAAAGCCGTCAAAGATTGAGGAAAGATGTACACGTTCGTAAGTACTTGCGTAACTGCTTCGTGAATCTGGCCCCAGCTGCGTGCTTAGTGACATGGGTATTGCGCACTTGCAGATTTAACTGATATCAGATAATCACTAATTGATCTAATAGCCTAGTATTATATAACTAGCTTATTATCGAGCTCTTAATTTACCTTCAGTTATGGAGGAAGGCGAGTCAAAATGGAAGGTGTGGACAACACTGAGAGTGCATTTGGAGGAGTCTTTAGACAACATGGGCGCCTTGAACGCGAGCCTGACTTTGGCCACCGTGAGCCCTGCCAAACATTCCTGTACGTTCACCCTTAATTTAAGCCTCCATTGTACGAAGAATTCTACAGACTGTTTCGTCACCTTTGTTACTCGTTACAGCTCCATCTGCACCACTACACCTGCTTCACACTCCACTCCTCCACACCACACCACCAGCCCTCCACACCACACCACCACGAACCCTCCACACCACACCACCAGCCCTACACACCACACCACCAGCCCTACACACCACACCACCAGCCCTCCACACCACACCACGAACCCTCCACACCACACCACCAACCCTACACACCACACCACCAGCCCTACACACCACACCACCAGCCCTACACACCACACCACCAACCCTCCACACCACACCACCAGCCCTCCACACCACACCACCAGCCCAACACACCACACCACCAGCCCTCCACACCACACCACGAACCCTCCACACCACACCACCAGCCCTACACACCACACCACCAACCCTCCCCACCACACCACCAGCCCTCCACACCACATCACCAACCCTCCACACCACACCACCAACCCTCCACACCACACCACCAACCCTCCACACCACACCACCAGCCCTCCACACCACACCACCAGCCCTCCACACCACACCACCAGCCCTCCACACCACACCAGCCCTCCACACCACACCACCAGCCCTCCACACACCACCAGCCCTCCACACCACACCACCAGCCCTTTACACCACACCAGCCCTCCACACCACACCAGCCCTCCACACCACACCAACCCTCCACACCACACCACCAGCCCTTTACACCACACCACCAGCCCTTTACACCACACAAGCCCTCCACACACCACCAGCCCTCCACACCACACCACCAGCCCTCCACACCACACCACCAACCCTCTACTCCACACCACTAGCCCTCCACACCACACCACCAGCCCTCCACACCACACCACCAACCCTACACACCACACCACCAGCCCTCCACACCACACCACCAGCCCTCCACACCACACCACCAGCCCTCCACACCACACCACCAACCCTACACACCACACCACCAGCCCTACACACCACACCAGCCCTCCACACCACACCAGATCTCCACACCACACCAGCCCTCCACACCACACCAGCCCTCCACACCACACCACCAGCCCTCCACACCACACCAGCCCTCCACACCACATCACCAGCCCTCCACACCACACCAGCCCTCCACACCACACCAGCCCTCCACACCACACCAGCCCTCCACACCACACCACCAGCCCTACACACCACACCAACCCTCCACACCACACCAGCCCTCCACACACCACCAGCCCTACACACCACACCACCAGCCCTCCACACCACACCACCAACCCTCCACACCACACCACCAGCCCTCCACACCACACCAGCCCTCCACACCATACCACCAGCCCTCCACACCACACCACCAACCCTCCACACCACACCACCAACCCTCCACACCACACCACCAGCCCTCCACACCACACCAGCCCTCCACACCACACCACCAGCCCTCCACACCACACCACCAGCCCTCCACACCACACCACCAGCCCTCCACACCACACCACCAGCCCTCCACACCACACCACCAGCCCTCCACACCACACCACCAGCCCTACACACCACACCAGCCCTCCACACCACACCACCAGCCCTACACACCACACCAACCCTCCACACCACACCAGCCCTCCACACCACACCACCAGCCCTCCACACCACACCAGCCCTCCACACCACACCAGCCCTCCACACCACACCAGCCCTCCACACCACACCAGCCCTCCACACCACACCAGCCCTCCACACCACACCACCAGCCCTCCACACCACACCACCAGCCCTCCACACCACACCACCAGCCCTCCACACCACACCAGCCCTCCACACCACACCAGCCCTCCACACCACACCAGCCCTCCACACCACACCACCAGCCCTCCACACCACACCAGCCCTCCACACCACACCACCAGCCCTCCACACCACACCACCAGCCCTCCACACCACACCAGCCCTCCACACCACGCCACCAGCCATCCACACCACACCACCAACCCTCCACACCACACCAGCCCTCCACACCACACCACCAACCCTCCACACCACACCACCAGCCCTCCACACCACACTACCAGCCCTACACACCACACCACCAGCCCTACACACCACACCACCAGCCCTACACACCACACCACCAACCCTACACACCACACCACCAACCCTCCACACCACACCACCAACCCTCCACACCACACCACCAGCCCTACACACCACACCACCAGCCCTACACACCACACCACCAGCCCTACACACCACACCACCAACCCTACACACTACACCACCAACCCTCCACACCACACCACCAACCCTCCACACCACACCACCAGCCCTACACACCACACCACCAGCCCTACACACCACACCACCAGCCCTACACACCACACCACCAACCCTACACACCACACCACCAACCCTCCACACCACACCACCAACCCTCCACACCACACCACCAGCCCTACACACCACACCACCAACCCTCCCCACCACACCACCAGCCCTCCACACCACACCACCAGCCCCCCACACCACACCACCAGCCCTCCACACCACACCAGCCCTCCACACCACACCACCAGCCCTCCACACCACACCACCAGCCCTCCACACCACACCACCAGCCCTCCACACCACACCACCAGCCCTCCACACCACACCACCAGCCCTCCACACCACACCACCAACCCTCCACACCACACCACCAGCCCTCCACACCACACCACCAACCCTCCACACCACACCACCAGCCCCCCACACCACACAAACACCCCCATAATGTACAACAGGGCGGCGACGAAGAGTCTGTGGGTAGACATCGTGGAGGTGAGGAGGTCACTGGTGATGGTGATGGTGGTGGAGGACTTCACTGGCCGCCACTACTACACTCAACTGTCCCAGGGACCGCTCCTAGTGGATGATGACCCCTTCACTCTCACCTGGACCCTCCACACTTTATATAAAGTCAACTTAACCTGCTTCTTAAGTAAGTGACATCTTGTATTGAAAGAGCACATGTAGGGCTCTCATCTTCGGGTTTTATTGAATGCAATAGACTAATTATTTCGTATTCGATATCAAAATAGATTTTTACGCTGTCAAAAATGTGTACTATCAAAATGGTCTTAAATTTTGTATTTGATGCATGCAAGAAAAAAAATTAAATCTGAAGGGGGCAGTTGGTTGATAGCTGGGTAGTGATAATCTCTTGAATTTTGAATTTTTTTAATTTGAATTTTGAATTCTTGGGAAAACCTGGAAAACCGGTCTTGAGGTGAAAGAAAAGATAAAAAGACAATTAGATCTACAATTTCTCCGGGTTGTACATTATTCATGTGATTGCTGTATGCATTTTGGGTTGTATTTTGACCACAATTTCATAGTTTAAATAAGAGTATTGTGTTATTTCTGATGATGAGTTTGATGAAGACTTTGGTGGTCCTCACACCAGACTGCACCATCAACACGCTGACGGAGGTGGACAGGAACCTGTACCTCCAGGTCTCCGGCGCTGCCCGGGTCTCCCTGGGCTGTGGCGGCGCCTACCAGTCCTCCTGCAGCTCTCTCAACCCCAGCACACACAGCTCCACACCCCTGACCCCCAGCTCCACACCCCTGACCCCCAGCTCCACACCCCTGAGCCCCAGCTCCACATACTCCTTCAGGCGCGTCCAACAGCGCCACACTCAAACCTTGTTGGTTAAGGTATAGAAACAGTGCAATTTTAAAGCAAAAGGTAAAAAACTATGAAGATGAAATTAGGTACTTTTTAGTATTGTTTTTGAATGACGCAAAAGTTGGACAGGTTTTCAATTCAATTCACTATCACTCACGTCAGGAGACAAGAGTGTCAGGAGACAAGAGTGTCAGGAGACAAGAGTGTCAGGAGACAAGAGTGTCAGGAGACAAGAGTGTCAGGAGACAAGAGTGTCAGGAGACAAGAGTGTCAGGAGACAAGAGTGTCAGGAGACAAGAGTGTCAGGAGACAAGAGTGTCAGGAGACAAGAGTGTCAGGAGACAAGAGTGTCAGGAGACAAGAGTGTCAGGAGACAAGAGTGTCAGGAGACAAGAGTGTCAGGAGACAAGAGTGTCAGGAGAGTGTCAGGAGACAAGAGTGTCAGGAGACAAGAGTGTCAGGAGACAAGAGTGTCAGGAGACAAGAGTGTCAGGAGACAAGAGGAGACAAGAGTGTCAGGAGACAAGAGTGTCAGGAGACAAGAGTGTCAGGAGACAAGAGTGTCAGGAGACAAGAGGAGACAAGAGTCAGGAGACAAGAGTGTCAGGAGACAAGAGTGTCAGGAGACAAGAGTGTCAGGAGACAAGAGTGTCAGGAGACAAGAGTGTCAGGAGACAAGAGTGTCAGGAGACAAGAGTGTCAGGAGACAAGAGTGTCAGGAGACAAGAGTGTCAGGAGACAAGAGTGTCAGGAGACAAGTGTCAGGAGACAAGAGTGTCAGGAGACAAGAGTGTCAGGAGACAAGAGTGTCAGGAGACAAGAGTGTCAGGAGACAAGAGTGTCAGGAGACAAGAGTGTCAGGAGACAAGAGTGTCAGGAGACAAGAGAGGAGACAAGAGTGTCAGGAGACAAGAGTGTCAGGAGACAAGTCAGGAGACAAGAGTGTCAGGAGACAAGAGTGTCAGGAGACAAGAGTGTCAGGAGACAAGAGTGTCAGGAGACAAGAGTGTCAGGAGACAAGAGTGTCAGGAGACAAGAGTGTCAGGAGACAAGAGTGTCAGGAGACAAGGTCAGGAGACAAGAGTGTCAGGAGACAAGAGTGTCAGGAGACAAGAGTGTCAGGAGACAAGAGTGTCAGGAGACAAGAGTGTCAGGAGACAAGAGTGTCAGGAGACAAGAGTGTCAGGAGACAAGAGTGTCAGGAGACAGGAGACAAGTGTCAGGAGACAAGAGAGGAGACAAGAGTGTCAGGAGACAAGAGTGTCAGGAGACAAGAGTGTCAGGAGACAGGAGAGTGTCAGGAGACAAGAGTGTCAGGAGACAAGAGTGTCAGGAGACAAGAGTGTCAGGAGACAAGAGTGTCAGGAGACAAGAGTGTCAGGAGACAAGAGTGTCAGGAGACAAGAGTGTCAGGAGACAAGAGTGTCAGGAGACAAGAGTGTCAGGAGACAAGAGTGTCAGGAGACAAGAGTGTCAGGAGACAAGAGTCAGGAGACAAGA